TGTGCTGTAATTCTGCACAAAATGTATGAGCTGCATATAATCATCTGGAAACATCAAATAACTCTAAATTGAGGACATTTTACAAAACCACCTTGGACACGTTTGTCAAGATCATCAGTATCATGAAGGAAAAAGAAAAAATGATTCTGAAAAATTTCCAAATTAAATAAAAGAAATATGAGAACCATACATAATGCATAATCATGAGTTAGACCCTGGATTTGGCGGGGGCGGGGGGGAGGTAAAATTGACATAAGGTATATTATTAGAGTAATTGGTAAAAGTTGACTGTCAAGTATATTTTAGATATAATCCTGTATTAACATTAAAATTCCAAAATTGATCATTGCAGTTCAGTTATTAAGAAAATGTCCTTGTTCTTAGAAAATACAGGCTGAAACCTTTACAGATAAAGAGGTATAATGTATGCAATTTTCCTTCCTATGACTCAGCAGTTATAATTAGCAAATGGAGATAGAGATACATGATGATAGATAGATAGATATAGATGAAAAGGTGTGCTAAAATATTAACTGATAAAGTATGAAGAGTATACAGGTAGGTCACAGTATAACTTTTGTAGCTTTTCATCAGCTTGAAATCTTTTTCAAAATAATAAAAGGGCTTTTTGTTCACTTGTTTATTTATTTATTTTTATACTCCAACCTCTCTATTAGAGAGGTGAGAATCAGACATTTCAATTAGAATTAAAGATGTGGGATGACCAGAGGACTTGGGCTGTGGGTACCATGCCTGTTGCTGGGAGGGAGGGTCAAATCATCATCCAACCCTATTGATTTCCACCTTTTATCTCTAATTCAAATCCATCCCCTCTTTGCATCCTCTGCCCAGGTCCTGGCTTCTTTGCCTGTGCTTCTAGGTGATTTCCTATCCGGTCTCCTGGCTTCAGGAGGCCTCTCCATTCATCTTTCCAACCCCAGAATGAAATGAAGCCTGCTGTTTTGTAGGGCTGCCAGGAGCACTCTAACTCTCCATCAGGATGGCAAAATTTCCAACAACCTCCTGCCACTCCCTGCCGCCCCCCTTTCCATTCCACTCCTCCCACAACCTTTGCTCCAACAATTCTAAACTATTTTTAGTTTCCCAGACACATTGTTGAGGTCTCTAAGAAGGGTCAAAAATATCACCCATCTTCCAGGCTCCTGGTGGGAACTGTGTTGGTCAGCTTTTCATCACTGTGATAAAATACCTGAGAAAATCAACTTGAAAGAGTAAAGATTTATTTTGGCTCATGATTTCAGAAGTTTCAGTCCACGGTAACTTGGTTCCATTTGATTTTGGGCCTATGGTGAGGTAGAACATCATGGTATGGAGGGAGTGGTGGAGCAAATCTACTCACCTCATAGCAACCAGGCAGTGGAGAAAGGGGAGGAGATAAAAGGGGAAGGGGAAGGAAGGTCAGGGGCAAGATATAGTCTCCAAGGTCATGCCCCCAAGGGCCCATTCCCTTCAACTAGTTACTTCCTTCTACACTTTCCACTAATTCCCAATAGTCAATCAGCTATGAAGGCATCAATAGACTTACCTACTGATGATGTTAAAGCCCGTGAGCCAGTCATTTTCCAAATCCCCCCCTCTGAACACTGCTGCACTGGGAACCAAGTCTTCAACACATGAGCCTTTGGGTGACATTCCAGATCCAAATTTGGAAAATAAAGGAATAAAAAATAGAAGAAGTGGCAGATAAAGGTAAAACTATTGCTAAGTGAGGGTAAGCTGGAGAATGTTGTCCCCATATATCAGCCTGCAGGCTAGGGGCAGCTCTGAGCAGAGCAAGTACTTCCACCTGCACATGACACCCCACAGAAGCCCCAGAACCCCAACAGGAAAAGTTCCCCACCTCCTCAGAGGCCAGCAGGTAAAGAGGCTGGGTTTGTGTTTCAGGAGAATCTGTCCTGTGGGATTTCATGGTTGAAAGAGGTGCTCCCTTTTATTACATACTAGACTGTAGCCTGTATCACCTCCCTGAAGATCCTGGGAGTCCTCACCTGAAACAGACCACGTGACAACCTGATTTCGGATTTCCAGCCTTCAGAACTGTGAGAAAATAAACTCCTGTTGCTCAAGCTGCCCGGTCTATGGACTTTGATATAGCATCCCGGACAGACTAAGATGTCGAACATGTTCTGAATATTTAATCACATCTTCCTCAGTACTACCTACTTTTATTAAAAACTTTTATTAAAAAGACATTTGCCTCATTTTAAAAGCCCAATCGGCCGGGTGCCATGGTACTTGCTTATAAACCTAGCAGCTTGGGAGGCTGAGGCAGGAGGATCACAAGTTCAAAGCCAGCCTCATCAACTTAGAGAGGCCCTAAGGGCTTAGTGAGACCCTGTCAAAAAAAAAAAAAAAAGGTTCTGAAAAGCTTATAATTAAAACATCATTAGTCTGCATCTCTCCCTTGTTCCCTATCTTGAGTTCAGCTCCTAGGGAAAAGCACTCTTTCAGTTGTTTTGTTTTTTATAATTAGTGGATCCACTCAGTGTTTCTAAGTAATGTTTACACTACAATTCCTTGATTTATCAATTTTAGAAATTAATTATTGACTTCTTATAAGGATTTAATACTTTCATTTTATGGCCTACAACCACTTCTCTGGGACTTTCAAAGCTTCTTCCTTCCAACTCGATGAAGCTACCATTTTTCATGTTCGTGTTCATGTTATTTTGATCACATAATTGTTGTTTTACTGCCAAGCGAAAAAGTATGATACAATTCCATTTCCTTTCTTGTATAACTTTTTGTTTTCCTATAGACATTGATTTTTCCTTTTCATTAAGCTTAACTTTTTTTTTTTAATCTTAATATTATTAATTCTTCAAAAACTCTCCAACAGAATTGTAAAGCTCTTCTGGATGCTATTTTTTTTCCATATAGTTAAAATAGTCTATTCAATTTTTGTTTCTGCTATCATATTTTGAATGCCTATGAGTTTTATATTGTTCACCAATGTCCCTTTTTAATAGCAAATGTCTTATTTTGGAGACGCTGTCTCTCTCCAAGGCTATTAAACATAGACTTTGTGATTCGTTTTGTTGTACTCTTTAGTCTTCTGCTGAGTTTGCCTCTTATATATTTATTTTGATCTCTATTGTCCATGGTAAAAGTTTTTTCAACTGCCTCAGGACACTTGGGCTGTTCAATGCACCTAGATTGTTGATTGAAGTGCTATGAAGGTGGGAGGCTGGTCTGTGTGTATGGGTTTAGGGTGGAGACCTCTAGGAGGATTCAGGAACAACTTGGCTTTGGTTTATGTTGGTGTTTTGTTTTTTTTAATTTTTAATTTTTGCCGAAGTCTGGCTTGGCACAAATCAGGAGCCACTTGTCAAAAAGAAACTAACTTTATTTTTAGAACTACAAAC